ATGCTTCATCACTTGGCAAAAGTCAACCATACCTTATCAGCAATAATACATGGTATTGCAGTAGTTTTGTATATGCTGCACCTGTGCAGATGCACTCAACTTTACTCAGTAACTGTTCTGTGATAGATTATATTTTCTGATCTATTGAACAATACTTTAAACAGTTGTGTCCCACTTCTTAAAGCAAATAAACATAATTTTATTTCAGTTTTATGCACTTCGTTCTGTTCAATTTCTTTGTTTTTGGCTATGATAACAAAATTGAAGCTCAATTCAAACACACAAGGAGCAATAACTTGTGTTGTGTGTCCACAAGATCCATAAACTTGTGTTTTTATAACGTGGCTTTTTAAAAAAGTGGTTACTTACTATTGTGGAGGTGGTACCTTACACCATGTGGAGGTAGGATCGCATGGGAATTCTGACGAGACATGTTGATGCAAAGGCCATTTTTTTCACCCAAAACTGGCTCCACTAAATTTACACAATTAGCCACCTTTAAAATGTCTCGTGCCTTTCCCCATTGCGGAGTTGAACTTCGAAAGACCTCACCCTACTTTGCAGTGTTTGCACAACCATTATTACTAGAAAAATCGATCTAATAATTGAAATCGAGTGGATAGGAAAAATATTCAAATTATGTACGCAAAATCTCTATCCCTATTTCTTTTTATTTCACGATTTTCACTTTTCACTTGACGCTGTAATGGAATTTTTTGCACAAATACTCTACTGTCCTGATTTTCTTACATTCAGCTCGTACCAAATATATCATTGGCAGCACATGAGTACAGTCAAGCTCAGCAAGTCAAATTACCTACATAACTGGAGATGCTATGGAATTAGACTGTCAACACAGTTAGAGATTCCAAGGAAACCAGCAAAATAGATTCCAACCGCAACTAACAATGAGCCTTGCAGCAGAAAACTGGGCAGTGCGCATTTCTAGAGATGGAACAGGCACAGGAAAATTAAACGGTGGGTGCAAAATAACTTAATCCATTATAAATTCTCCATTCTGCATTCGCCAATCATCTGTAACTAATCCTGAAACAAGTGGATTCTGGTTATTGGTGTATATAAAACTAGTATACAACTATATAGATCCAGTTGATTGCTTCTTACTGTCCTGTAGTGCTTCTGCGAGGAACATCTTTCCTAGACCCTGGCACGAGAATTGGTTGATCTGGTCACAGTAACTTTTCACTTGCCCTGGAAGATAAACGTAACTCCATTACGAACTGCCACCCCCAAGCATTCATTTAGAATCGTCATCATTCTATGTGGGATATTGGCGGCCCCAGCACACTACTAACCAGTCCATAACCCTGTCCATGCCCCCAAAATAATCTGACCCTCGATGAACTGACTGAGAATGCTGAAACGTGCTCTGTGTGTTGCCAGTGAGAAGAAGTACCTGATTGCAGCAAGCTGTCCAGTCTGTGGGGTGCCGGCAGTGGCTTAAACAGCTTGTTGATATCTTCTTCGGGGAGCGGCGGTTCACCCTTCGCAGTTCGAATCGCATTCTCTTGATGCTGCAAGGGAACAAACACTCGTTTAATTAAGTCAGCAAGGCGAGAGGGTGCCAAGGTTATGCGAGAGTAAAGGCTCTCGCTTAGTAATGTTGGAACGACTAGAGCGCACACAGTTACGTGACGGAAAGCATCTCATTTAGTCAGGTTGACAACACTAGGGGGCGCCACAACTAATGCGTGAGCGAGGCACAACTGTGGGCGTGTTTGTTTGGTCGGATTCACGGATCTCGATCCACTGGATCCGTGGATCTGACTGTTTGTTTGGTCGGATCCACGGATCTCGATCCACCGAACCTGACCCAGCTAGCGAGGTGGATTCGAACCGGATCCAATATGGCGGCCCGCGCCTCAGCCAATCACATCTGTTTCTTTGTTATGAACCATCCCGTGATAGGTCACAGCGAAACGTGAACCGTTGAAAGTGAGTTTGCGTTTGTTTGAGTTAGGGTTCGATCCAGTGGATCGAGATCCGTGGATCCGACCAAACAAACACGCCCTGGGAAACTTCATTGGGCGGCGAGGCAACGCGAGACGCTACGTACGCGCTTCTGGACGTGCTGCTGCTTCGCCTGGTTCTGCTTCATTGCCTGCCGGAAGTGATTGTGGAACTTGTTCGAGTCCTGACACAGCTCATCCACCGTGTCCATCAGCAGCTTCAGATTCTTCTCGAGCACAGAGCTGCAGCAAACAAAGCGGCTCCGTACAATGGCAGGGCTCGAATTTCCCTATTGCTAACTCGCAAAAGGCGTGTCAATATTGAGAAATTGCGAGTAGAAAATATAAGCACTTGCCATTTTCTGCGAGTGGAAATTTATAGCATACACCGCATACATTATCACTGTCGGTCACAGAAAGAATATATTTCATGATTAATGGTCAAATTGGTCGGTCAACGATTAGTAGTAATAGTATGCAAAAAGTGTATGTAATATTCAAAAAGTGTATGTAATATTCAAAAAGTAGTTTATGTTGTACAAACAAAATTGCACGTTAGAATTCATTTTAGCACGTAGATTTTTTAGGTACTCGCGAAAGTGGCTAAAATTGCGAAATTCGTCCCCCGAATGACGCCCTGCACATCGCCACAACACTGATGTAGTGCTCGCGACACCTTCACGCACCCACACACACAGGCGAGCACGCACCCACGCACACATGCACGCACGCACCCACACACACACACATGCACGCATGCACACACACACAACTCACATACAAAGCTCCAGCTGTGCAGCAAATGCACTACACTTTTCCTTAAAATGACCAAGTCCAGGGCTGTGTCCCTAGGTGGCACCACTGTTCTAACCTTGTTGCAAGATCCAGGAAGTTGTATGTTTCTGTCGGTTCGCTACTTGAGTCCTCGACTTCTAGCGTCAAGCCGTTCACCAGGTGGGAGTTCTTGATGAATATTGGAACTTCTTCAAAAATTGTGCTGAATGCCATCTTTGTCTGTTTTATGCTAAAAACAGGAGAAAACAGATGAAAACAGGTAAAAACATGTCCATCCCTGGACAACTCCTCCCAAAGTCTATTAATCAGGTGGTAAAATCATTATTGCTCTCCTTTTCACACTCACACAAGCAATCATTATTTTACTATAAAATATTGTCAATTTTAGATGCATGTCAAAATTCAAGTGATGGAGCTAACTTCTGGTAAACAAGAGTAAATTACACTAATTTGGCTTTTAACTCCGCGTGAAGATTGAATTCGTGAACGGAGAGCAACCAGGTGCTACTTACTTTTCTGGCGAGAAGTCCATGGTCTCGTAGATGGCCATAGTTTGTGGGGTTAGTCTATATGCCTTTAGTGATAGATATCCCTGCGTTGTACGTAACGGATCTGCAAAGCATTGCACCAATAAGTCACCTAAATTCATTTTCTGCTCTAGCAAGAGTAAAAAAATTATATATATACTTTCTATCACATTAAATTGAGCGTTTGGTCAACACATTTTATTCAGATAATAGATTATAGATCTTATATGAGCATTTTATTATAAAACAGTGTCTACATAACGATAGAAACATGGAGATCTGCATCAGAGCTCTGCTAATTTAGTGCGTTTTATGAATTTTGTAATTTGGGCGTTTTGCTAGGGGTCGTAATTTGGGCGCCGGTATTCGGTATGAGAAATAGCTTGGACTAGGCCCTGCATATAAAAATGCTTGTACACTCCCTAGAACATGCAGAAGTGAAACAGCTACCACAGAAACGTGGGTCCGACGTATAATACCTACACGTGTTTTACCGTAGGAGATGCGTGAACATTTCACGCGGACCAGAACCGACGCAAGCAATCCATTATTATTTAACCAGCGATCAAGTCTTAATCACACACATAAACAAATGTCATTCAGCTGGTTCACATAAACAAAGCCGAAAGAGCATAAACACTAGTGTTGTCAATCGGTTGTAATTTCGTAATCGATCATCGGTTGAACCCAAGTAACCGATGATCGGTTACAATCGGTTACTCGGGGTGTTGAATGCCTGCGTGTGCGTAACGTCGTGTGCATGTACGTGTGCGCATGTATGTGCTTGTTTAGCCCTGTTTACTCTTTGTTTTGCACTGTTTACGACTATGTGTATAATACATGTATGTTAATACAGGATAACTTGTATAGTAGTGTTCTGGTGTTGTTCATTGCAATATGTGTCGAACAATTAACTCTCAGACATTTCTTGTTCAAGTTTGACATTTATTTCAATGAAATCGATTATGGATTTTGATAACCAAGCGCTTGGTTCGAGCCACTGTTCAACCGATGATCGAGTATAATCGATGATCGTGACATCACTAATAAACATTTCACCTAGCTGTGCATAACTACTGTAATAACGGTGTAACACTGGAAGCAGACATACCGTACACGAGTACTACAGACTCTTCTATCGAGTGCTGATACTGGAACTGTGAGTCCAGCAGGGCCTTGCTCACAAAGCCTCCGAAGAAGGTGCTCTGGTACCATCCAACATGCAGGTGGTCAATGTTCACATAGCGTAGATGTCTCATCATCTCCATCTGGTACTGCACTGTGTGGGAACAAGGGACAAAGAATTGGTTATTACACGAGCTTTATTCACTGACAGACTGACTGACAGCATAGAATATCAATTGTTGTATTTCTATATTTCCTATGTAGATTTTCTATGAGTTGCTAATATACATGGTCTACTCTATATTTTAAAGTGTACTATCATTTCTTGAACAGGAGTACAGATTCTCTACAGGTTGCTGCTAATAACCAAGAGACATCTGCATTAGACACACTTGCAACACAGAAACTTATGAAATCGGCATGTCACAGTGGGTATCAAACCATGTGCTTAGCCTAGGTTGTACAAATGTGTGCAATGTTATCGGTGAAGATCAGGCACCAGGGGTTTATCTGGGTAATTGTCTATTACCTGAGAATTTATTTTGTGGACAAATAAGCCTGCTTGTGAATTTTGGGCATGACGACATGCAGTGGCATGTAGTGCAAAACCGGAATTTTTTTCTTGAAATTTAAGTAATCTTGCTTTGAAGTATGAAAACATGGGGAATTAAAAGTGCAAAAACAAAACCTGGCAAAATCATTGAACAAAATAGATTTCATAAAAAAAGGTTGTCACTGTGAAATATATACAGCCCAACTGTGGAAATATGCTAAACATCTCATTTTAAATTGTGACTTTTTAAAACCTCCTTTAGGATTGTCAATGGGTCAAATAGGCAGACCCTAATATGGGCGACATAAAACCTTGAGTACCTACCTTCGTCAAACTCCGGGTCATCAAGTGCATTGCGAGGGAATGGGAAACAGTTTGTGATCTCGAGGCAATTACCGATAAGCAGACCCAGTAAAACACCCTGAGAGAGTTCTGAGCCGACCTCCTCGCAGTGTTTAATGATCTTTAGAATAACCTGCAAATTAAAAGTGAACACGCCTTTTATCATTACAAGCATGAGTTAAATTGAGAAATTATTGCTCAGAAATGCTCAATCTGAAAAATATATAGCAAAATATAACCTCACCTTACAGCAGATATATTACAGATTACACAAACTTGAAAAACATTTATGCAGTTATAGCATAGAAAATTGGATTTTAATACTGTCAATTTACCACTAATAATGTGTAAGTGATAAATAAGTGTAACATTAACGCTGGGCATACTCCCCATAGGGCTTGGATAAATAGAAAATTTCAATGGTTCACCTATGATTTATCGGCATTGTCTGGGGGGCAGATTACCTGCCGTTGTTGATTACCTGCTCTGTATTTTTCATTTTCAACACGTATGCCCTGCTATGTCATTATTCACCCATCATAAACAATCAATGAATCATATTTACATTTAGTGATGTTACAATACAAATGACAAATCACTTTCTAGTCTTGATATTGTCATGATTGTGTACAACACCTGGGGCCCGTTGTCAGAAACAAAATTAGTCTTAACATTAGTCTCAACATTAACTTCCACTCGTAACCGTTGACAGAAACATCGCAACGTTACGAGAATGAAAAATCCTCGAAAATATCCTCTTAACATTACGAGAGCCCAGTGCCAGGACTTTTAAAAGTTGAAAATAACACATATACACTACGAATTACAATTATAGTGATATTATATTTTATAATAATGAATAAAATGTGTGTTTTGTGTTTGTCAAAATCATTAAATATTTACCGATCATAAAACAAAACAATACATTTACAAATGGCGTATGGCATTTGTTCTCGTTTTAAATGTTTGCCACGCTTGCCACGACTCTCGCGTCTCGTGTAACAGTGGGAGAATTTGTCTTGTTGTGCAGAATAAATTCATGACCGCGTCGTTTTTCATCAAATATTATTTATATGTGGTTAGCCATCATAATATGCATAAATTACTGTGATGTACAATAAATGTGTATGAATTTGAATTTTGTGATCGATTCTGATCCAATCAGCAGCCTTGTGATGAAGTTCCTGTTATCGTAAGTTTTCTAATACTAATAGCTGCGATGTGTTTGCAACGCTCCTCTCGTACATTAACATTAGTCGTAAGTGTTATCTTAGCATTAACATTAGCATTAACTTTACGATGTTTCTGACAACGAGCCCCTGGTTTTACAATGCGGCACTGCCACTGGAATGGGGACAATGTCATCAATGACGCCCCATGGGGTACAAGGATAGGCCTAGAGAGCATGGCGAGATTGAGAACTATGTTAGTATGTAGCCAACAATGAACTGTGTCAAATTTTAAGAGTAGACATTCACGACAACCGAAAATACAGTTACTTGCACTGTCTTTCTGACCCAACCCAAATTTAGGCCACTCCACCGTTTCGTAGTATTCAATACTATCTATGAATTATGAAAATGATAATTGATATCATATCTCAATCTGCTGCCCGGCTTTCGCCTGCTGGCGCTGCCTGCTGGCGCGGGGATCAATTATTTACTGCTGCCATACCCGATACCGCGTACGGATCACTGTGTGGAGGCAAATATGTTAATTTGAAAGATATGATCAAATAATAAACACACAACAAAATGCGGGTTCACAGTAACAAACGATCGTACCAGACCATCTAGCTGAACACACGCTATCACACTTTCTGTTTCTGTAGTTCTTCGGCTTCCACGTCCAGACGCCATGTTTGCGCAATCAATGGCGACTCTCACGCGCGCCCTCCATCGTCTGTCTTAACAAAGACCAGAGATATCAAAAATCACAACACATAAACGTAGTCTTTGGCCGTAATATAATGCACCAGGCCCGTCGGAGCCGCTACGGTTGGTACAGAATTGACCGTACCACTTTTCAGCCTAAAAACAAGAAGAAAAAAAGAAAAGAAAAAAAGAGAGATGGAGAGGGAGAAGAAAAGAGAAGAGAAAAGGAGAGAGAGACGGGGAGAAGAAAAGGGAAGAGAAAAGAAGAGAGAAGGTGGGAGGGTGATAAATGTCATGATCATAGGCTGATCGTAGGCTTATCACCAGCTTAATGGAAGAACACGAACATCGAAGTGACTTTGCCTTTTTTCCATTATTATGAAACGCATTATCACATAAACCAAAGAATATATGCCACAAAACTTTTTCATCCAATCGCAAATCTTAAAAATAATTTCCTCAAGAAAGTGATAAATTAAGCTCGCCACCTGACCGTGAAACCTCCTATTTATAGGTTAGGGTTAGCAGCTTGACCTCAATTTCTATTTAATGAAGAGTAATTTGTCCTTTTCTGCAGTACAATGAAAGGATAAAAAAATCACATAATTGCATAATAAATTGCATGATTTGCACCCCCAATTCAAAAAAAGTTCTTACCGAGGGAGGAGGATACGCCCTCCCACACCCTCCCCCGCTCGATCGCTCCGCTCTCTCGCATCTAAAATCTGGTCACGCTGTCTTCCCCTTCGAACCCCGCTGGGGGTTTTACCCCCAGACCGCTACTGAAACCATACCACTTTAAAATTACTTCCGACGGGCCTGTAATGCACGTAATATAATAACATCATAATATTACGTACATACACGTAATATAATGACATACCACAAGAAGAATATTTTTGGCGTTAAAGGAACTGTAAATAAACAATATATATTCACATTATTTACATATAATAATACCTATTCTTGAAGTTATACTTCGCGCACCACGTGCAGTTAGTATAGTAAATGTTAACTCATCATATGTTGACTACTTAATTATACCAACCTCCTTTAACTTATACAAGATTACGAGGTCAGACGTGTGTGCGCGCACGCTAAAAGTGTCACATCTTGTTGAACTTACAAAATATTATCTACAAAAGAGTGGACATATTTCGGAGTAGGTTTCTATGAAAAAATTTGAAAAGCATTGCCACCCATCTATAATAAAAGTAGGTGGACGGTGGTTTCGCGCATGAGACGTGGTGGAAGCATATTGTATTAATACATAATTTTGTTGAAATTATTTGTAGTGAGCACATCCACAGTGGTAGTATAGATATGAACAAAGTGTTTTCTATAATTACTTAATTATTTAATTAATTAAAGATAACAGCTATATAGACCCCATTTACAAAAGAGAAGACATGCGGGGGTAGCTTTCTATAAAAATGTTAAGCATATAGCCTCTCTTATATAATAACCAAGAGGCCAATATTTACAACGTTAAAATTCCCCGTATTGTGCGATGCTAAACGAAATAATTAAACATTAATTTTTCTGAAACCATACACAGTTTTTTCTCACACCAGTATTCATAGCCAAGAGTACTTTGATGTGAAATATGTCGATTCCTGTAGATATATAAAATATAACATAACAGATATATGTCCGTTTCTTACCATTTTCCCTAAAACATTCATGACCCATCGTCGCCCGGCTGCTGGTAACACTCTCGGAAAATAACTGATAATCGATTGCGGATAGCCAACTACCGCGGTGACCATCTGTGCCGACGGCAGATTGGTAAATTATAAGACGTGGACTACGGCGCACCACGCCTCTGAGCCGTTTAGAATCTTAACGGGGCTGCCTGCAGCAACATTACATCTCTGATAAATAGGTAATGCAATCAGGCCCTTTTGTTTGTGGTTTTCTGCTTATTGCTAGGACACGCAGGGGAAAACATAGGGGGGAGGGGGGCAACGTTAGTGCGATAACGCAGAGAATGACAAGGGCAGCGTTGGCGCGAGGACGGATTTCTGGGTAGGTTCTACAGAGATATTGGGAAATATTTGGCAATTAAGTGTTCAACCAGTTATTAACATATACTATTGACGAGCTTCGACGGTGTTTCTTTACACGTAGCCGTTAAGGGAAAAGCGAGCAAGTTGTTCGATACGGCATGAATAGCACCGGGCCTGTGGATATCGACATGGAGAACAGAGATCCGAATGACATCAACAGCTATCTGCAGGTAGGAATGCTGTTGGTATCCAGGCGTCTGTAGTTCTCACACACTCGCTCTCTCCTCTCCCCATCTCTCGCTATCCTCTCCCCATCTCTCCTCGCCGCAGCTATCTTTCTCTGTCGCTCTTTCGCTCCCATTATCTCGATCTTTAGCTCTGTACCCCTGACTCGCGCGCACGCGCCCTCGCACTTCGTCCCTCTCTTTTTATTTATTTCTCCCTGCGTATCTTGCGCTTTTATTCTTTCTTTCCCTTTCCATTTTTATATAACGCACATATCATAAATGTAACTTCGATTTTTTCTTAAATCTTGATTGGTCAATAATTCGCCAATTTAATTACGATAATTTTTCTTTACTTGTTAGTGATTTTCCTGGATACCGTAGTTAAAATCTGTTTCAATCGTTGTTTCTTATCGCATGTCAAGTCGGTTCCCCGTATTTCGTACGCATTACCGCCGCTTTATAATGGTGGCGTCAGTGTGCGTTTATGGTAATAACAACACGGGGTGTACATAGAGCCCAATTTTAGCTGGTTGCATGTGCCACCCTCTACGGCAACCCCCTGGATACCCATTGATAACAGATCAATGACTGACACGCTGTTTGTGGAACGGTAACCAACACAAACGCGTCTGCGTGCATCATTGATGCGCTCCGCCATGCATAATTCATGCCGCCCTCAGTCACTCGCAGTAGGCCTATACGCGAGATGGAGAGGCTGAGCGCGTAATAACGACAGCCACGCTATTCCAATGCGACGGGAGCGAATCCGGGGGAAAACATGCCCACTGTCATAGGTGTCAACGCCAATCATGGCTTGCGTTGCAATATGTACCGGCTCAGCTCCTCTAGCAAGGAATGATTACGCTCACGATTAGATAGCTCGTTATCGATATGGATCGATTCGATATCGATCATATCTATACTATACTATCGATCATACTATAAGATCCAGTTAGCATGTCGCAGCGAAAGCTATAAGATATAGGGAAGGAGAGGTTCCTACTACCTCATGTTTTACAGCAGCCGGCAAGGAAATCGCAGAACCACGATTGCAAAGTGATGGGTTAGTGGTTGATTTCTGAGACACACGAATCCATTCGAACTAGCATGACGCGTAAGTGCGTCATTCGTCAAAAGGTTAATTACCGCAGTGTAGGAACGCGCACACTGTCATATACGCCAATTGTCTTCAGGTCGGATACGATGACGTCATCGCTGAGCCGGAAGACATTCGGAGCATCAATTGCGCATGGGGGCTTTCCGCTAAGTGCTTCAACTTCGGCCAGAACTGCTGCTACAAGTTTCTGTCTCTCTTCTGCGCGCCGTGTCTGGCGCTCTGCTGGGGCTGTCAGTTCGCCTGTCTCGCCTTCGACCACATCTGGTACTGCACGCCGATGCTAAAGGCGTTCAAACTACAGTGCACGGTAGGTGGCAACACCGACGCGGCTTATTGCCGTTTTGAGCCGCGAGTGAAACCAGAGCATATAACATATATATATACTAGCAGGACACCCGGCGTTGCCCGGGAAATGAAACGCTCAGTTGGTGACCACTTGGTTGAAAGAGAAATACCCCAAAAATATCTATCTATCTATGTATATCTAGCTATCTATCTATCTATATCTAGCTATCTATCTATGTATATCTATGTATATCTATGTATCTATGTATCTATGTATCTATGTATCTATGTATCTATGTATCTATGTATCTATGTATCTATGTATCTATGTATCTATGTATCTATGTATCTATGTATCTATGTATCTATGTATCTATGTATCTATGTATCTATCTATCTATGTATAATGTATCTATG